GATAGATAGATAGATAAAAGATAGATGATAGATATAGATAGCTGATAGAGAAAAGTTAATAGATTATAGATACGTAGATAGGTAGACAGCTAAGAGATAAAAGATAGATGATAGATGATAGACAAAAGAGAGAGATGGATGATAGGTAGAGACAAAAGATAGATAGATAGATAGATAGATAGATGATTGATAACAGAAAGATGATAGGTACATAGGTAGATGATAGATAAAAGATAGATGATAGATAGGAAGATAGGTAGATGATAGATAGATAGATAATAGAAAGATGATAGATATGTAGATAGGTAGATGATAGATAGATAAAAGATAGATGATAGATAAAAGATAATAGATTATAGATACGTAGACAGGTAGAAGATAATAGATAATAGATGATAGACAAAAGAGAGAGATGGATGATAGGTAGATAGAGATAAAAGATAGATAGATAGACAGATAGATAGATAGATAGATAGATAGATAGATAGATAGATAGATAATAGATGAAAGAGAGAGGGAGAGAAAGATGAGAGAGAGGGAGGGAGGAAGTAAAGGAGGAAAGGAGAGAGAGAACGAGCAAGGGAGAAGGACAGAGAGAGACAGACAGACAGACAGCCATTTGCTAAGTCCTCCTAGTAAGTAGCTATACTGACAGTGGAAAGGCCAGCAGTTCAAATCCACCAGCTTCTCCATGGGAGAAAGATGGCCAATCTCCTCCTGTGGGCTTTGCAGCCTCTGAAAATCTGCTGAAGAGTCAGCCAGGAGTTGGTTCCAACTAGATGGTACACCGCCACTATTACCACCACAACAACAACTACAACAACCAGACCCAGAATTAGGCCGTGTCCCCCTCAGGGTCAGCCCTGAACCACAGGAGACAACATTCTCAAAGTCAAAGAACAAATACCCCAAAACCCTCCATTTATTTTCTTTATCAGCATGATAAAAAATCAACTCGTTCTTTCTTTTCCAGAACTCCACCTTTTTTGTATAATTTTTTAAGGTGTACAATTATCACCTTCTCTGCTGTCATAATATTTCTGCCTCCCACTCAGCTCGCTTGAGCGTCTGCTCTCGTCTCCTCCTGCGTGTACCACGATGCTTTATTCTTCCTCTGATGAAGGGCTTCAGATCAGAATGGAGGAGAATTTATTTTTTCTTTTTTTTAATTCACTTCAGCAGGAGTTGGGTAGTTCACCGTGGGGCGGGCTCGAACCGCCGATCTTTGGGTGAGTGGCCAGCGTATGATCTCTCAGAAGCTCTACAGCTGCTGTGAATCACAGCCCATCACAGCTCTGGTTCTGGAGGCCCCAGGGTGTGGGGGCCGTGGAGCCATGGTCCCTGCAGTGAGAATGTCTCCCAGAGATCTTTCTGGAAGGTGGTCACGGAGACACATGAACTCTCTCTAGAGGAGGGGCTATTTCTGGGAGAGGGACATCATGTGGGGCCAAGTGGAAGGTTCAAGAAAGAGAGGGAGACGCTTCAAGAGGTGGATTGATACTCTAAGTGATGTCAGAGACGGTTAAGGGTAGGATCGGACAGGACAGTGTCCAACTCTGTGGCACACAGAATCATAGTCAAATCGACGGCACATAAACACAGCGGTCATTGCCGTCACGGTCCTGTTCAGGGCAGACCACCTGCCTGTCCCCTCTCTGTGTCCCTCCTGTCCTGTGACTCTGGCTGCTTCCAGAATGTAACTATTTCTGGGCACAGGAACGGGGTGTCTGGTGAACCCATCTGGCCAGCCCTCTCTGTCCCTGGGCACAGGTTGGCCATGGTTCCCCGTGACCCAGTGAAAAGAGAGACGCAATGTCAGACTGAGTCACCAGCAGGAGAGGGGACAGTGCTTCTCCCCAGGAAGGGTGGACAGATGACCTGCATGTGACTGGTCCCCACGAAATCCACGTGGGTCGCTCACAGGTCACTCAGCTCCTGGGTCT